TTCATCTCTGATAATTTGTTGGACGCCCAATTATCACGTTTGAGACTTCTTTCTGTTACGTCATCGCGTAGTGATATGATACGATAAAAACTAGTCAAAAACTTACGTATTTTTCTGCTTAACATCAAAGTTGCAGGGTTTGTTGCATGTACCAAGGCGGTGTTGCCAACATCACATAAAATGTTTAGAAAACGCTACATTCATTGTGAGCTGAACGGAGCTCAATCCGTTTCACGGTTTTTGGTGGTTACGTCAAACAATCATACGAAATAAAGGCCAGGCTGTCTAGATAACTGCAAACCATGTAAATATAACATATATAAGAGACTGTACTTACTCTGGTTGGCACTGTAAACCGCAGCTGGTCTCCACACAGGGAAGAATGACTAGAAGTGACCCCCGGAGGGGAATGCTACCTGAGCGAAAATCTATCGTAATGTGCCCAACTAGTTTTTGCAATCAAGTGATAAGAGTGGCTGATAAGAGTACACGAATGCTGATTATGCATACTCATCAACAGTTCGTAAGCTAGTGAGGTGGCGCGTGAAAGCCTTACAGGGTGGACACTTGTGACACTGTCTTCAGGAACAATGCTCTAAAATTGGGTTGATATAATATATTATTATCTTGGGTTATTTGCTTTTATTCTGTTTGTTATGATTTTCCCTTCATCCTTTTATGAATTCTTTTTCGTTGAATGGAATTCATTGGATCAGATATGAAAGTATTTCAATCATCCTAAAATTATACTTCAAATAACTTCACAGGGTATTTTTGCGTTTGCATACATTTTTCTCATTTCAAACGAAGGAATTACGTGGTTACTGATGGTACTACCACGCTTCTTTTAAATTTGCAGGAGCATAGGAGATGATAACTATTAATTTACTTCACGCTGTTTGCTTGCGTAACTATTCTATTTTGCAAGAATTTCTGAGTCTCTTATTTGTTTGAAATAACGAATCAACGAATATTGTAACCTAAAAAATCATAGGTTCATTTTTTAACAGAGCAAGACTTGGTATGCTTAGGTCATCAAACACATACTTTTTCAGATTGGGGATACCCTCTTACTTAAAGCGCCTATCGATTAATGCATAACGAGCTTTAATTTATGACCAACAGCTTATACCTAATCTTACTTATTTGGCTACGCCTAGACCCGCAGATCTAGCTAACATTAGATCTACGGTTTGGGATCTACATTTTGCAGTATGGAAGTCATGGAGAATGGTTTGGGTTGGCTGGTGATCCAACCTCCAACAAGGCGTCCATTGGGGCACCAATGCTCTTATCTCGGGTGATTGCCTTCTTACACAGAACTGCTGCATGGTGTTGTATATGTTATCTCCAAGACAAATAATTGAATGGCGTCTAATAGTACCTGGGCGGTTAACAGATACTTGCTATAATTAACAATTGCAAATGTGGAGTGCTGTTATGTAGAAAAACATGTGCGAATATATAAGATACGGTTATTTTCCGGCTTTTCTAAGCAAATGATGTTCTTTTATCTTTGGCGCAATTAGTTCCATCTTTATGTTCAGTTTAAAGACGGCGAACACGCTATTGGAGTCTTGAGAAGCACATTGCGCATAAGTCATTATGCAAAATTTGAACGGATATAAACAGAGAAAATACCAACAGTGGACCAGATCCTGACAGTCCATTTTTGGTAATTTGGTTTTCATAAAAAATGTCATACATATCGATGCATAGTATTGCAACTGACAATTTACCGAGTTGTACTTTTTTGTAACTGCATAGATTGGAAAAAAGGCGGTAATACCGTTACTGTTTATATATACATATATATATATATATATATATATATATATATATATATTTACATATATATTGTCAGTTTGACATTTTCTTACCTAACACATATTGAAAATCACACCATCTGAAGTGATTTGGCAACGTAGCACACGCCCACAAAATAATTTTTGTTCCATCATTCTACACAGACACTGCTAACCTTCGACCATCTGTCAAAAGGTTCATCTTACTCATTATTCCATGCCCACCAGTTTGTGCAATCATCAAGTGGCTTCACGATGTAATGCTTAACTTTCATTTTCTAAAAAAATTTTTAATCTGTTTTTAACTTGTTCTTGTCATACAACTGTGTGTATTTTATATAATTTTGACCATTGTACCATTTATCCTGCTTTCGCCATGTTACTGGGTGTTTCCCTCATCCTCAACGTAAACAACAATTAGCAACATCCTCACATACTACTGTAAGTTAATTTAAATTCATTTTACACTATTGTTGCTACTGTTATCAATGTAATTGCAGCTCCTGATGATGATGGTAAAGACCATTGAAAGCTAGAGAATAAAAAAAGTGTAAAGAGTCCTCCTTGCTTAAATTTTGTCGAAGTACCCAACAAAAGACGGAAGCTTTAATTTTTCACCTAACTGGTCTAGACGACAATGACCACGTCTCAAGTTATATATATATATCTATGCAGTGAGTGCAGTTTCAATGTTCTTGCACGAAAACTTGTTGTCGCTTCAGTTACAATTCTAGTGGGCATATGAATATTTTGTGGTGAAACATGTGGATTTGAAAAGATATGCCTAGTTTTATTCCAATGCTCTATAAGTAACTGAGCAACTTTCTTGCAAGTAGGACGTACCCATGCCACTAATTGTATTTGCTATTACAAATTAAAAAGAATTGCTCCCGTTGCAAAGAAGAATAATAGCGTACCGCATTTTGTCATGATTATACAGCAAAACCAAAATTTTGCTCTCCTTGTAATTACCTAATCTGTTTCCTACTCGTATGTATTTTCTTCGAATTTGTGATAATAATATTTATTCGCCAAAATACAAAATCGTTTAAGAATGTGAAAATAAATTAGTATCAATTAATAGGTAATCTTCACAGTGGCACATATAATGTGCGCCACATTACTAAGACCCGTATCGTCAGTCGTCCCTACAATTGTAGGGCGCGTTTATGGCCTCCTTGATTGTCATACTCTTTTCTCTCCTTCAAAAATTTCTAGATCACACTCGTCCCGTGTCAGCGTCAGCGCTCTCCTATTGTTAAGATATGTTTTCCTTTTAAATTGTAGGAAATTTCAGGCTGATAAAACATGATAAAACTCAAAAGCAAGCACAATTTGATGCAAATAGATGTTTGTGACATAACCTCAAAATAGAGCGCTGACACGGAGAAGTAGAAAACTGTGACAATCAAGGAGGCCATGAACGCGCCCTACAATTGTAGGGACGACTGACGATACGGGCCTAAATCTACGAAATGCCATACCGAGGCAGCCGCGCAGGCAGAAGCCTAAATGCCTAAGTGATCTATGAGGCCAAATTCAATCTTAAGTTTCAGCAGCTGGTTTATTTGAAAACCTTCAAATAGCATATTTAACCTCTCAAAAATAATGCAACCCTAAAACTGAGATTAAAAAAGCCTACAATTTGTTCCGTCTTTTTTTTAAGCTGATGCTCGAATCAGTCTCAAGGAGAATGATGATTTATCTTTGCACCAAATCCTTTCAACTATCCAATCACTATTTCAACACTGCTTACCAATTTCAAGAACTATATAACAAGACTACTTGTATGTAATTTTTGCGTAACACACGTCGCCACAATCATCTATTTTATGACAGGCTCATCTTTAGAAAAGGAGATTCTGATTGTAAAACGTAATGTTTAATCGTAAACACTACTTGCCTTAACGATCGGTGATTTTTACCAACCATGCTTAATTAATGATAATTGTTGTTATAAGCAGTCTATAGTTTTTTTTTTCACTTTATATGCTAGCTGAATCCGTTTATATCTGTTGCAAGGTACAATTTTATTGTCTTTAAGGTAGCATAATTAATCCTTTATAAAGAGTAACTGGCTATTTTCTAGGATCCATATGACAAGTCCTCCCCTGCAAATGGTGCCATTGGAAATTTGTTCTGTTCGGAAATAGTTCAAGGTTATCACCTTGAATTTGAAGAATGTAGGATAACAAGTTAGTCCAAAAACTTTCGAAGATCCCTGCTATATTTTGATTTCCTACGTGGCGTGAAAGTATTATAATACAAAGTTACTACCATGACAAGGACGAAAATGTTTTCTAGTTTTTTCCAACTCTATGTAATTCTACGCATCATTTGTCTTCAAAACTTCTATACTATAACTATCTAAAACTGTAATGACTCATCGATGTTCACGTGAACATCACTTAACTACCAGTAGTCGGCTGTTCATAAGCGGGATATGAATGTTTAACATGGGTGAACTAGATTTGTCACATGCTTAATAAAGAGTGGTTTGAAACATATTGTAAGTCAAAAATTTGGGAATTTCTTTTATTCATCGTCGCTTCCACTTGCATCTGACAGTAATAAACTGTCGCTATCGCTTTCCTTGTTGAAATTGACTATAACTGGCTCTATGATGGTGTCGATGTGGTGGTCAAGCTGCCACATTTTTGTTTCTTCCTTCACAACATGACGGATAGCATTCTGCCAAGCTTCGGGCGTTACTAGCTGTATGGAAGTCTCAAGTAAAACCTTAACGTCTGGTAATTTGAAGGTTGGGTTCAGTTCACAGTGGTAGGGCGGTAACCGCAGCACAGTGACACCACATTGACGGGCCATCTCATCAGTCACGTAACTAATGTTCGCAGGTTTGTGCTGTTTAATTTTTTCATACAATTCCGCTTTCACACATGAATCGTCAAACGGGATTCCTTTTTCGCGCAACCATTGCTGCATGTCACTTTTTCGAGATCCCATAGTCGGTACACGTTCGGCTCGACGACTATGGTAGGAAGCATTATCCATGATGATCACAGAGTTGGGCTCAACTCGCTGAAGCACCCCTTGAAACCAGCTCTCGAAGCAGCTGGCATTCATTTCGTCATGGTAATCACCTCCTTTCTAGAGACGAAAATCAAGTCATACTCTTCTAAAAAGCCACTATCGCTACCAATATGAGTTACGATCAATCTTTGACCTTTACCTGACGGTCCACGAAGACCTGTTGACAAACCTTCAATGCTTGCTTGTCGGTTACTCACTACGTTTTTGTCTATCCAGGTTTTTTTAACTGTGTGACCTGCATTTACCCATGTCTCGTCCAAATAATAGATTTTTCTGCTTTGTCGCCTATATTCAATCATTTCGAGTAGGTATTTTCGACGCCAGGCGACTATTTCAGGTCTCTCTATCAATACTGACTTCCGATTACGCGTTTCGTAACGAAAATTAATTTCGTGCAGGGATTTCCTCATTACCTCGACGCTCATTTGGGGTATAATTTCATTTTCCTTGATCGCTGCATGTATAGCCTTGAGGGTTGGTATCACATTCCTAAAGAAGAATGAATGTACGGTTCGCCTTAACGCCATTTTGCTATCGTCATCCAATTTAACGGCCTTTCGTCCCTTCAAATTAAACTTTGGATCAGTAGTAGCTCCAGTTTTCTTCTTTTCATGCACCACCCTGCGAATGGTCCACTCTGGAACGCCTGTCATACTTTCACAACGCGCGAGTGCATCTCCCTGCGACATAGTTCTGTTCAGATAATTGAACACGTTGAGCACGATTTCTTTCGCGTCCCTCTTCAGTGCTTTACGAAGCCGTCTACTTGTTCCCTGGCTTTCAGTACTTCCACTCGTGCCATTTGTACTCTCCATGGTTAAGTATAACCAAAACAGTAACCACAGAAACCACAACAATAACAATCACACAACAATTCTTATAAAAACACACAATATGCGATCGCTCAACGAAACACGTTCCAATGCGCTGCCGACGCCTATGAGTCTGCCGGTCGAGGCGCGTCTTTGATTTCATTGGTTCTACCGGCGGAGAACAATCAGCCACTATTTCCATCTCTGTCTGTGCTGTTGACCACCGCAAAGCCACAGAAACGACATAAGTCGTACGCTATACGGCTGTACTGGAAGGAAGCCGGGATCGAGCTCTGATCACGCGTATGAGTCATTACAGTTTTAAATAGTTGTAGTATAGCTGTTTAAATATTTAATACGGAGGGATAACTGATAAACTGATTCACTGTCACTGAGCGATGATACGTGCATACAACGCCATGCTACGTTGCCATGTTGCAGGGAAGTCTGTACTGTTGCTACTGCAATGGGCTAGATCGCAATGTTGTCATATCTGTGGAGACTATGTAACATTCGTATCGACCCGTTTGACGGACATGGTCGTTTTAATTCCTTCGTTATACATGTATCCAACTTTTTTCTGAGAGGAACTAGCTTGTGCCGAATTAATATCCTTTTTTTAAATTTATGAGCGCTGCTCAGGAAGTGTAGAGTGATGTCATTATACCACAACTGTATTTGACTTTGAAAGGTCTATAGTTGTCACAAAATTGAAGTGACTGTACTAAAATAGCTTTGCTATTCAATATCGCGCAACATGGCTTTATTTTGTCAACTATTTTTGAGTTTCATATGATTTCCCATAACCTGTTCAGGCTCCGGCTACTATGAAAACCTTTATATCTATTTTGAATGAGTCAGCTAGATGAATCGAATACGTGTTTCTCAAGATAAGTACAAGAAATGTTTTACACAGTTCGCAATGTTAACTTGTGCAATTCCTGCAACCGAGCGAATGTCTGCATGTAGCGTCATAAAAGCACAAACGTGCATCAGATATGGTGAACACATCGTTATTAGATAAAGTTTGTAGTGAAATATGAGACGTTCTCTGCTAACGCAGCATCCAGCAACTATTGCACATTTGTTTTGTTACTTCAGCACGTGTCACCAGAGGCCGAGTTTGTTTTATTTAATTATAATAATAATAATGTTTATTTGCAACATACTGTTAAATAAAAATAGTAGCAAAATACATTTGAATAAGTTATGTTCAAATTAAACGTAAGAAAATATAAGGTCAAAGAAAAAACACCCAATAATAATTAATTTATACTAAGTGACATATAAATCCGAGCACCCAGTTTAAATGGTTTTATTTTAATAAAATTTTGTATAAGTACTTAATGAAGCATAATAAGTAAATGATAAAAATTTCAAAATGATTGCATTGCTTTAAAGCCCTTTGACCTTTAATAATGTGTGGATGCACCCTGATGTGCTACGCATTCTCCAACGCGCCTAGGCATGCTTCTGATCAGGTGGTCAATGTCCTCCTGTGGTATCTCATTCCAGGCAACCACCAACTCCTCTCGAAGTGCTTCTAGAGTATGAGGAGGACGTTGCAAATTGAGCAATCTCCTACCCATCATATCCCACACGTGCTCAATTGGGGATAAGTCGGGAGATCTTGGTGGCCATGGTAACAATGTGACATCATTATGTTAAAAGAAGTCTATTGTGACTCTTGCAACATGTGGTCGGGCATTATCTTGTTGGAAAGGTGTCAAGATAGGGTAAAAGATGGGGTTCTATAACTTCGTGGATATAACGCTGCGCGTTCATGTTACCTCTGATGAAGATTAAAGGTGACCTAGAACCATAAGCTATAGCACCCCAAACCATAACTCCAACAGTGTGATGAACATGTCTTTCAACAAAAAACTGTGGATTCCTCCTTTCACCACGTCGCCTTCTAACCCTGGCACGACCATCGTGCATGCCTAAACAAAATCGAGACTCGTCACTAAAGACAATACTGTTCCATTCCTGATCCCAGAGTGACCGTTGTCTGCACCACTCAAGGCGATTACGTCGGTGTTCTCGAGTTAAAGGGAGCACCCAGTGTGGCCGGTATGAAAACAAGCCAAAACTTCTCATTCGCCGGTAAACACTTCGCATGCCAATAGGTCTTCCGTGTTCTGCAAACCATTCATTTGCAATGGACCTGGTAGTGGAGAAACGGTCCCTTAAGGCCAATAATCTTAGGCGGCGATCTTCACGGTCTGTTGTTCTACGGCGGCGTCCAGTGTCCCTTGCTCTTTGCGTACGGCGTTCTCGAAGCCATGCCTGACAACACCTAACCACAGTGTCTACACTTCTTTGCACTCTAACTGCAATTGCCCGAAAAGAAAGTCCAGCTTCCCGAAGTCCCACTATACGGCCTCTATCAAACTCACTAAGTTGACGAAATCGTACAGGTCTCCGTACTCTAGGCATCGTAACCGATCGTAAAGGATGTCAAGAACCAAACTCCGCCAACGTTGATTCTTTACTGCGGCTGAAATATTCATTTTTAGAGCGTTAGTGAATTAAAAAAAGCAGTATAAAAACCGAAATGTCCAACTGATGAGGCTGAAAATTTTTTCTCTTGTTATTCACAGTAACATAAATACATTCACCAACTTTTATTAAAATAAAACCATTTAAACTGGGTGTTCGGATTTATATGTCACTTAGTATATTACAGCAGTTTGGATATGCTTGTCTCCTAGAGTTGAGTAAGTAATACATCAAAATTATAGAAAAATCCAACCGTTGAAAATAAATGTAAACTGACCTCATGTAGGTGGACATGACACTTCCCACGTCAACCAAACAATCCCATATACAATTAGTACATACCCTATAGTCCCTAACCATTTTATAGTATAGATATTTCTCCAAGCTTTAAGGGCAAATATTTCCATCAATAAAATGAAGTTTTCCTACTCCTTTTGATGACATACTGCCCCAGACCATAATGGATGCTAGAAATTTCACTTTTCTCTTCAGACAGTCAACATGGAATGCTTCATTTTTTTGCGACTGTCACCAACACAAACTTCGAATCGGGCCTCATCACTCCATTGTATTGCACACCATTGTTGAGGTGTCCATTGCCTATGTTCTTTAGTCTATCTAAGCCGATTTTTCTTTTGCAGTGGAGTTAATAGTGGCTTTTCTTTGGCCTATAAACAAGTTGTGCAGCTTTAGGGTTTTTACTTTATTTTTTTTATAAGAAAACTTACCTTGCAAGTGCTAAATCCCAGTTTGTGGGCCTCTCTATGAGTTGTGGACCTCGAAATTCTCCTTCCAACAGCGTCACTCCACAGAGCACTGTGAATAGTTGACACGCCTGTTTTTCACGATTATTCTTCTTAATGCTCTTCGGTCGGCATTTGTGATATTACTTTTTTCACATATCGTGGCTTAATATTAACTGAACCAGTTACGTTATACCTTCTAAAAATATTTCTCACACTGTACCGCGATAAGTTTGATAAACTTGCAATTTCTGAGTTTGATTTCCCAGAATTAAAAAAATTAATTATCAACCATTACAATTTTTTTTCTGAAAATGAGCACGAGCCTCTGAAATGTCACAGTTCTATATTTAGGAGCAAAACCGATAAAACAATAGCTAGCTAAAACAGTTATTTCCTTCAGGAAACAAATACATGACTGAACTTAATTGACAGGGATATATACTAAGTGACATATAAATCCGAACACCCAGTTTAAATGGTTTTATTTTAATAAAAGTTGGTAAATGCATTTATCTTACTGTAAATAACAAGTGAAAAAATTTTCTGCCTTATCAGTTGGACATTCCGGTTCTTATACTGCTTTTTTTTAATTCACTAACGCTCTAAATATATCAGCCGCAGTAAAGAATCAACGTTGGCGGATTTTGGTTCTTGACATCCTTTACGATCGGTTACGATGCCTAGAGTACGGAGACCTGTACAATTTCGTCAACTTAGTGAGTTTGATAGGGGCCGTATAGTGGGACTTCGGGAAGCTGGACTTTCTTTTCGGGCAATTGCAGTTAGAGTGCAAAGAAGTGTAGACACTGTGGTTAGGTGTTGTCAGGCATGGCTTCGAGAATGCCGTACGCAAAGAGCAAGGGGCACTGGACGCCGCCGTAGAACAACAGACCGTGAAGATCGCCGCCTAAGATTATTGGCCTTAAGGGACCGTTTCTCCACTACCAGGTCCATTGCAAATGAATGGTTTGCAGAACACGGAAGACCTATTGGCATGCGAAGTGTTTACCGACGAATGAGAAGTTTTGGCTTGTTTTCATGCCGGCCACACTGGGTCCTCCCTTTAACTCGAGAACACCGACGTAATCGCCTTGAGTGGTGCAAACAACGGTCACTCTGGGATCAGGAATGGAACAGTATTGTCTTTAGTGACGAGTCTCGATTTTGTTTAGGCATGCACAATGGTCGTGCCAGGGTTAGAAGGCGACGTGGTGAAAGGAGGAATCCACAGTTTTTTGTTGAAAGACATATTCATCACACTGTTGGAGTTATGGTTTGGGGTGCTATAGCTTATGGTTCCAGGTCACCTTTAATCTTCATCAGAGGTAACATGAACGCGCAGCGTTATATCCACGAAGTTCTAGATCCCCATCTTTTACCCTATCTTGACACCCTGGCAGATCCAACTTTCCAACAAGATAATGCCCGACCTCATGTTGCAAGAGTCACAATAGACTTCTTTCAACATAATGATGTCACATTGTTACCATGGCCACCAAGATCTCCCGACTTATCCCCAATTGAGCACGTGTGGGATATGATGGGTAGGAAATTGCTCAATTTGCAACGTCCTCCTCAGACTCTAGAAGCACTTCGAGAGGAGTTGGTGGTTGCCTGGAATGAGATACCACAGGAGGACATTGACCACCTGATCAGAAGCATGCCTAGGCGCGTTGGAGAATGCGTAGCACATCAGGGTGCATCCACACATTATTAAAGGTCAAAGGGCTTTAAAGCAGTGCAATCATTTTGAAATTTTTATCATTTACTTATTATGCTTCATTAAGTACTTATATAAAATTTTATTAAAATAAAACCATTTAAACTGGGTGTTCGGATTTATATGTCACTTAGTATATAAGATATTTAAGAAACAATCTGCAATTAATGTCAAGTCATCTACTCTTGAAGTGCGTTTCCCCGATTGTCAGATACTGTATATAAAAGATATTTATTGTTTTTAATGATATCTCTATTCGTATGTACAACATTCGACTA